ATATTTCAGTGTCAAGCAGATTCACATTTTTGTTCAGTTCATCGATCCTGAATTTTATTGCCTTTTCGAAATGCATTCAAACAGAACAACGTTTGAGCACAATATTGTGCTATGGTATGTAATATTGTCAGGTAATTTTGAAGCAATATTAGTTTGCAATATTACAAATCAAAATATTACACAGGTTTACAAATTCAAAACTTTTTTTTGACAATCAACAAAAATTGAGAAAGTTACAGTCGATTAAACATCAAATTTCTTGAAAATTTTGATGATTTTTAAACATACTAAGTAACTTCTGTTCATTTTTCCACATTAAACCGTAAAAAATATTTAGGTTTTAAATATTTAATTGATAGTCTATTTCATTACGAAAATTTTGAGTGCTTATGGACCTCGATTAGATTCAAAATGACAATTCTACACGAATCTGTTGTTAGATTTTGCAAATTCAAAATAGCGGATCCAAATACGACACAAAATTCATTTTCTATCCAGATATTTACTTTTAGTATCTGGATAGCTGTCCCTCTGTTAAAGAAGAAAAATATTAAACTTTAACATCTACATATTTATCTTAAATATACAGTATTCTCCGTGCAGTGACTCCAGATACCCTTCATTAGTGATTATGTTAGTAACTTTGACTCTTATCTTACTTTTACAGTAGTTTGTATTTTTGCTGTAAATGTTAAAAGGATTTTAAAACAAATTATTGTGTTTATTACTTTTCGCATAAAATATGTAATTTTCAACTCAACCTGTAATTGTTATCCAACAAAAATGTATTGTCATCATTTGCAAAAATATTTGCATTTATTTTAAAAATTGACCAAAAAATCTAGTACAAGTGTTGATCCATATAAAATAACAATGTTTTTTTTCTTTTTTCTAAATGGATTCACTCGCACAATAATACTCTAAGCTAAAATCGTCAGGATGGATATAATATTAAAATATAATTGTAATTTTCAATGTTTTCAAAATTTAAATAAACAGAAATTAATTAACAAAAATTAACTGTCATTTCAAAGATATTAGGGTAACATTTTAAAATTTTCTACTGGCATGTTGATTCCGATATTTTAAAACTTGTATTCCGATCTAAAATACATAACACTTTTTTTGAAGGACTGCGTAAGGAGGACAGTCGATAATTTCCGCCAAAGAAAAATGATAATTTTGAAGATTAAAGGTTAAATGAGGGTGTTTGGAGCATAAATAATAAGGGTTTTGTATAAAAACTGTATCAAAAATAAGGGTAATAAAAATTTTTAATTATGAATTAATTGACTTGAAACTCGTTACTCGGGGGTTTTTGGGGTCGCTGATTACGAATCTGATGTTAGTTTTCCAAAATTCAAAATGTCGGACGACTTTTTTAAAATAAGGGGAATTAAGGGGTTACGCCACCCTGAACGCATTTAAATTGGACGGTTTTTTAAGAATTTTTTTTGACGAAAATATTCAAGATAAGACATTTTTATTTTTATTGTTTCTTAATACATATTGTAAACTATGTAAATACGAAATAGTTTTTTTCAGAAAAATTAAAAATGTCGGAGATACACGCATTCCAGTGCAGCAGTACATCATCAAAATTATCATTTTTCTTTGGCGGAAAATGTATTTTAAGCATTTAAATAAAAATTTCAATGGGGCCGAAAACAGGCCTTATCGACCCTCCTCCTTTGTAAGCTAAATACTAATTTTTTTACTAACCTTTTCCAATATTTAGCCTTTCTTCGCTTTAAATTTTTGACTACATGCGGGCGTTTTAATATATCCACACTGTTTAATTAGCTTCGCAACAAAATAATTCAAAGATCGGAGTGACAGCAATAATTTCAACCCTCAGGAAATTTTTCATGTAGTGTGGGTGGAAGCGTTAAATTCCAATTTCTGATTCTAATTTTGTTTCTATTGCTCTTCTTTTTTAGTTCCACATCTTTAGACTACAGTTCCACCTTCTTTTTTGTTTTGTAGAGTACTTTGACCTCATCTACTTAAAGACTCACTTCCGGAGAGTTTATAGTGATTCGCAAATCTTACTTATTACTCTTCCTTTAGTCGAAATCTTAATTCTTGAGAAAAATTCGATTTATATCAATAGGTCAATCTTGAGAAAATCATTTGAAACTTCTTGCTCTATAATTCAAAGACACGAAAGTGCCTACTTTAAACCGTTTAAAGAGAATCATATATTATTAGGTACCTAAGAAGCAAATCATTTTAAGATCATATTTGTTTTATATTCACCTTAAATAAAAGTTTCTAATTGTGTATAACTAAAACCAGTTTTTATTAATTATTTATTTATTTTGGATGTAATACAAAATTTAAACATTTGTGGTTTATATTGAGAGTTGATCCCCTTTATTGTGTATTTTTATTCCAAAAGTTAAAAATATACCTTTCTTTGAAGCGCGCCACTTACGTGGGCTGATTTTTTGAAAATATGAATATTCCGATCATGATATATATTATTATCTTGTGTGGTATTATTTTAACGTCCTTTTTCCTTGCCGCGTACACTCTTATTTAATCAATTTTCTGGTTTATCTTGCATAAATTGAAATTTAATCGAGATAACTTATTTGCCCTGCAAATATAAATCGCCTTTTATTAGATTCCATATATAGTAATTTTGCGGTTACGCATCTGTTGAAACTTATATTCTCTTTCAATATGCGTGAAATTTGAACGTCAGTAATAGCTTTGGAATTTCATATTTTGTTTGCTAAAGGTAACATATAAAAATAAGTAGCATGTAATAATATGAAGATACACGAAAGAAATTATTCACGGCAAATCGAAAATTTATTGAGACACTAAGAGAAGTGTAGGACTTGAGACTTTCTGCTAGACGATGCTCTCTGTGCTTTTTGCAAGTGGGGCTAGAGTCGTAAAGTTTAATTAAAAACAATTTAATTTTAAACATATTTTAAATTAAATTACACATTTTTTAACAATAGAAATCTCAAAAAACTTTCTCTAAATTAGTAAAAATAATTGCTTTAACCCCTTCACTGTCACTTACCTCTATAGCGGCACAAAAATGTCGTGCAATTTGAATTTTGAATTTTCGATCACGGATTTTGATTCAGTGACCCCAAAAACGTACAATATGACAATGTCATGTTTAAAAAAAAAAAAATTTTTTTTTTGAAGATTTATGGCACAAAAACTTTATTTTCACTGGACTGTGAAGGGGTTAATGAAGAATTTTAGTTAAAAATTCTAAAAACAATAGCGAAAGCAGTTTCACAATGTTGGGCGCAAAAGTTGACTAAACCTTGCAAAAAAGTTGAAAATTTTTAAAAATATTTAAATGAATTTTTTAACAAAAAAAGAAACTTTAAAGAAAATTAAAATAGTTTTAAGTGATGCTAATTGGGTGCCTTTACCAATATGACCGGAACTTGGATGACGAGAATTGTAAATTACTTCAATGCATTACATGGTCTCAATGGTCAATATGTAATTCCATATCTTCTAATAATTTTTTTAAGCAGGACTATAAATGAAGATTGACATTAAAATTTGTATAATCGCCAAAAATATATATATAATGCTGAATTTCCTTCAGAGAACTCGACAATTGTGAGTGCTACTTTCTGAAAACATAATTGATATTTCTTGCTCTTCAATTACATCAGGAAGTTTTACACGTTAAAGCTGTCATGTTCTTGTATTTTGTGCGTCATCACTGAATCTAATTATTCAACTAGACGTCCTCATATTTCTTAATCGACTGTATTCGCGTAGAGACGTGTGTTTTGTGTATAATTCTCATTTTTTTTATTAATCAGAAACTCCTTGTTTATGAGTTTATTGAGAATGATGGTAAACTCTATTCTCTTTCTTTTACATAATACTAATCTTTTTGAGAGCTTCACACTTGCATAAAATTTCTTGTTCGTAAATAATGAATAGTATGGCTACTATGGTTGCAAAATTATAATATTACAAGTGAATTTCAATTATCAACGAAAATATCTTACAAAAGAAAATTTGATCCCGTGAGTAGGATGGATTTGATCAAATATTGTGACTATAGTACTTGACGCGAGACTAAGAAAAGGAAAATTTCTAGGCTACAACACAGTCGCAAAATGAATCTTGAGCGTCTAATGAAAGAACCGCCATCCACGCGTCTGCGAAGGCAATTGGTGAGGTTCAATTATAAGAAATGTCAATGATTCGGCCCACGTGTGAAGATCACATTACATAGAGAAAAAGGAGCTTTTATATATTTATGCAGTAATTTCTAAAAATAATAAAAGTACATAAAATATTATTTATTTTTAATTTACTGACTCTTTTAAAGAAAGATTTATGTTGCGTGATAACCTAAAGCAGTAGTCACGAATTTCGAATACATTTAATTTTAAAAATATCTTTTCAAATATGGGGAGCTTTAAGGTAGCCAACATTCTTTTACGCGGGTCCCTTAAAAACATTTAGGATTTTTAAATAAATTACAATTATTAGTAACTTCCCTTACACTGAACAAAGAACAATAACAACGATAGTTTAAACGTATCCTTATAGAATTACACAAGAAAAGTAAGAACAAAGTCAAATAAATTTCAATGCTTTCATGGAACTTGTATAGTATAATCTAAAGATTAATGATTGCAAAAATTACTTTAAGGCGCGTGTAAGTGTGAACTTGAAATGAAACTACATGCATCTGATTCCCCTTTTGATTTATTTGCAATACCTTCAACTTGTATAAAGTCTCAGTGTTTATATTCACGTCGGAAAACACCTTAGCTTTAGCATGGAAACCCAGTTTCTACATTTGAGTATATTCGTCTTCCTTCGCTTCGTTACTCCCAACAGATGTTAACTTGAATTAATTAACATTCTCTGGTATAATTTATTATTTAAGTAAAAAGGTAAAATATACAAATCTCCCACAGTATAATATTATTTTTCATTTACTCTCAATGGCATTATTTAAATTTATCAAAAAATAAAAAATAATGACTTACCGTGAAGCAAAAGTCCATGCAGCGCGAGGTTCATGGCTTCGGGATGGACAAGTTTATTCTCCTGTAAAAACAATTTAAAAATGTTATGTAAATTCTATTAATAAAATGAGAGAAATAATATGGTAAATGCACTAATAGTCGGACACTTAAGGATACAATCTTATATTATGCTTTTTTTTTTGGAATAACAAATATAGTTACTATATATATAATCGCCCCATCTCGGAACTTTTTAGAAAATTTTCTCTATATTATTAGGCATAAATAAATATAGAAAAATTTTAATTAATCATGCCCAAATTAAAAAAATTAATATAAGGGAGAGTCAGTACGGTAGGGACACTTTTTGACTTGTGCCCATAACTTCCGTTCTAGGCCGAATTTCACGTTTTCTGACATATCGTTGGAAAGATCTTCTAAAGTGGAATGTTTCTTCTGTACATCAGAAAATTAATGGACAAAAATTGGAAAAGTTATAAACATTTTTGAAAAAATGTCGTTATTGTCGGGCCACCGTAGAAAATCAATGTGATATGAAGGAATATTACTAAAAACGGCCCGTAAATTACAGAAGAATGCTGAAATGCACTTGAAAATTGGAAAAGGAAATATAAAATTCATATAAAAATTACTCTTTATCAATTTTTTATTTTATTAATCGTATAAAAAATTAATATTAGACTATTAGTAAATGACGTCCTTGGTGTGTTATAGTTGCGCCCCGCTGATCGAATTAAATCATGATCACATATTACATCCCTAATGACTTGTATTACGTTGGGAAAATCAAGATTTCCACGGTTAGTTTTCCTTTTTCTTCTCGAAGTTGGTCTAAAAATTCAAGAAAAATCACAAAAAATTATTAATATAAATTTTTCAATAAAACTCATTGGACAAAAAAAGATTCACTTTCGAGAAACGTTCTTAAAACGTTTGCTTGTCAAAATAAAGTATATTACAAACGTATGAAGTTCTAAAAACGTTCTCAGTACACGAATCGTTTACAATACATTATTGAAGGAGATGTGAAATGAGACTTTTTAAAATGTTTTACGAACGTTTTTCGAACATGAGTATATTTTGCACACTGTAAAATGACGTTTTTCACACATCCCTACGTCAAAAAATGAATTTCCGATGTCAGGACGCAAAATAATTGTAAAATTACAAGTGGCCCAATCTGCACGACATAAAGTGACCCGACCGTAAGTTTTGCGTCGTTTTGCTTTTTTTAGCACACAGACATAAACGCACGATATAAAAACCAAATAACATACCAAAGTATTAAAGCACTCTCTAGGGTAGAGTGGGGTAAAAAAGCCACATTTTTACTTTTGATGCTGTAAAATCTGTACTTAAAATTTTTTTCTCAAATTTCCAATTGTTATTGAAAGTTTAGTTATTAAGCTTGAATATTCTTAACAGAAATATTTTTTATTCCATGAAAGGACTAAGTTATAAGAGTTTTACGAAAGCATTGCAAGTGGCTTTTTTGCACCACCTGGTGGGGTGAAAAAGCCACCCTACGATTTTAGCAAAACATGTTATCAATTTAGGTATTTTTATAGTTTTCCTTTATTTATATGACAAATAGTCTTATTTGAAAAATATTTTAATAAATATGAAAGAGTTTTTAGCAAGCAAAATTGAAAATTATATTAACCCTTTAATGGGCGAGTTTTTTGCCGTTATTATAAACGTATAATGTTTAGTAAATTCGATTATTCTATTATTCAATATAAAAAAACAATTTTTTTAACATGTTCCACCCCTTAAAACCACCCCTAACGTATGTTACTACCCTAAAAAATTGATAATTAATCTAAGTAATAAATTAAATATTTTTTAGCTCCTGTCAGCTTTATAATTATTTATAAATATTCTCTGGTTGTTAAAAAATGAAAAAGAATTATAAATAACCACTTGAACATCACCCTCAAAGTCAAATAATCACCTCTTGACGATATTAATTTTTGTGAATATTTAAAAAAAATCTATAGATTCTAAATGCATCTAAATTATAAAAAAATGTTTCTAAGTGACACAGATATGGATAAAAATGTTAATCACCCCCCCCCCCACTTGGAACTCACCCCTATTTAATAATTATTCTTACATACTGTCAATAGTTTTGAACAATTAAAAAAGTCATTTTTATTAATTCTATACGTTTCGAAAATACGAAAAAATATTTTTATGGTGACTGGGTAATGATAGTAAATATAAACTACCCTTAAAAAAATAACCCTAAGGTCAAATAACCATCCTTTCATGATAAAAAGTTTTGTATTAGATTTTTAAAAATTATTAATTCTAATTGATTTTAAATCATAAAATGTTTTTCAGAATTACACAGTTATAGATGAAAATAATAATAAACAGCATCCTCAGAACTCACCCCTATTTATTAACTGTTCATAGATACAATTATAGTTTAATTGGAGAAATTCGTTATTATCTTTGTATATTGGGTAAATGGTTTGATATATTTTTTTATTAATGTTGAACAATTGTGATTCTGAAAACTGGAAAAAGATAATTTATATTAATTTTAACCAATTTACGACATTTTACCTTTTGCAATTTTTATTCCTTTCTCCTTTTTTCTTTTATCGTTCCATACTAAAAGGATTCATTGGAAACCCCCGAGTAACAAGTTTCCGGCAAATATGATGAATTTTTAATTTATTGTCCGCCATATTGGATCCGCCATTTTGAATTTTTGAAAACTGACATCATATTCGTAATCAGCGACCCCGAAAACCCCCGAGTAACAAGTTTCCGGCAAATATGATGAATTTTTAATTTATTGTCCGCCATATTGGATCCGCCATTTTGAATTTTTGAAAACTGACATCATATTCGTAATCAGCGACCCCGAAAACCCCCGAGTAACAAGTTTCAGGCGAATATGATAAATTTTTAATTTATTGGCCGCCATATTGGATCCGCCATTTTGAATTTTTGAAAACTGACATCAGATTCGTAATCAGCGACCTCGAAAACCCCCGAGTAATAAATTTTAGGCGAATTCGGTAGATTTTTAAATTGTTTTGTTTTTTGGGGGTAGTTTTCATTAATTTTCTTTTTACCCGGAGGAAAATTTTTGTTATTAATTTTTTTTTACAAAGATTACAATATTTTTAAACACTTGTTACTGCGTAAGCCGAAAAAAAAAATTTTTTCTTAAATTTATACCTTTTTTACAATTTTTGTCATTTTTCGCGTTTTTTAAAGGGGTGTATTTCAGAAAGGGTAGTTTTTTGGAAAATGAGAAGCATATGTATTTATTACTCTCGTTCACCCCTTCAAAATGAGACCTTAGCGGATTTGATCCGTTAAGTTTTAAGAAAGTTATGATTTTTTGAAGTAGGTGGTACGTATGTGTACCACTGGCCATTAAAGGGTTAAGTTTACCTGTTTTCGATTTGCACTGCCAATTTTTCGTACCTTTTTTAGAAGTTCTTTTTAAGTTTCACCACAGATAACATATTTCGTTGCAACCGTTTATTCATTGTTTATTTTTTTAATGCACTTTGAACTACTTTTTCGTTGTGTTTAATTAATTTTATTAAATAAACACGAGAAATTTTGTAAAATAAGAAGGTTAGTTTAAATAGAAAACAAGTGAATTTCACAAAATATTCAATGGATTTTTTGCCCTGGCTTTTTTACACCCAAGACCAGTTATTAAAAAAAGCAAAAATAAATTGTTAATTCAGTTCAATTTCCAAAAATTAACATTGTATACGTTTTCGGTATACTTTTCTCCTTATGTACAAACATTTACTTTTATTATTCGTTCACTTAATCAGATTGTAATATGTTTGAAAAGTTCACCAAAATGTTTTCAAAAAAGCAACAAAAAATTAAAATTACAATAAAAACAATATTAATCTAGGTACAACATTCAAACTAGATTCAAAAGTTGCGTATTACCTAATAGTATTTATATTCTAAACAGCTGATAAATCGGCTTAATAGTTTTTAAATAAAACTCAAATGGCTTTTTTACACCATGGCTTTTTCACCCCACTCTACCCTAATGAATAAATTTCATCAACTTACTTTATTGTTTGCATATTTCTTTTTGTTTAATTAATCTTTCTCGACACTAAGAAAAAGTTTTGCTTAAAAATTCACTACACATTTACGTTTTACGTTTGTACTGCTCGCGTACTTCATTGGAACTTAATGAAAGTGACTTGAAAAGTTTTCTACCATCACTAACAAGTATTTACATGCAATGGTAAATGGCGCCAGTTTGTTATTACTAAGAAACCCGAGGTGGTCCGACCGTACTGACTCTCCCTTATAATTATAAAACCTAAAATAAACAAAAAATTTTGCATTTGAAATGGCATTATTTTGAAATCAAATTATTTCTAACAATTTTATAGTTTACTTATTTACTATAGAAAGTAATTTTCCACCTTATAAAATACATAAAACTCTTTAGAGGCTTGACGTCACCATTAAATATCCACCTCGATTATGTTTCCTTTTTTCAATTTTTAACAATTCAAGGGGTGTGGCATCAAAAAGATTTTTTAATTTTATTCTAATATACGTTTGGACATCCGAACATATGTATATAGCTGATGCTCAATCCTAATTTGTCATTGTCTATCTTGTGTTTAAACTGATAAATTGAGAATTTAAGCTATGTCAAACTTGTAAAAGACATAATTATGTGAATCAGGTAGTCATGATGTGTAGGTGCAGTGACTTATTGTTCTGATCATACATTGGTGAGATTTCTATAAGATGTGGGTATAACGTGTGGGTCTCGACCTTTGATGAATATGATAAATTTGATTGACACTAGACTGTGTCTCCACATGCGAAAGTAATCCTTGTAACTTTTTTATTTCATCAACTGAATCTTAATGAAAATTATTTAGTAGTTTTAATGTAGCATCGTTACTAGAATTATTATATTTTTCATCATCGTACCTTAAATCAGAGTTTTAAAAAAAGTTCTTCTTCTTTTAATAGTTCAATTTTACTTTAATTTTATTAGGTTTCTTCAAAACAAAAAATTCAAAGAAAAATAAGTTC